CCCCCCCCAATGCACCCACATTGTGTTTTTGTGTCCTTTTTGGAGTGTTTTGTGTCTCCACTGCCCACTTTTTATGTGTCTCCGCTCCTTCTGTAATATAAACAGTGTCAGTTTTGGGTGGTGTTCCCCTTGAAAACCTCATTCAGTCGGGAGGTCATGTCCGGGACTGACGAGTGTCTGTTCCAGACAAACACAAGTGCAGAGCAGAATGTGTATCCGGGGGGCGGTCCCCGATGATTTCCCCCCAGTCCCGGTGTTCTATCAAAGTTTGTGACTGCGTTAGAATGCGTGACCGGTGACGTGGTCACACATTTTAACATCATCCCGCTCAGTTTTTCAGCGGTGGAATGTGTGACCGGTCACGTGGTCACACATTCTAACGTAGTCACGCCTGTTTTTTCTGGCGTTAAAATCCGTGACCGGCTAAAGGTGAAGGATTCGCCGCTTTCTCAGCTGTTCCGGGGCAGATCGGTTCTCCTGCACATACAATCTGATGCGGTGCGGATCTGCCCTGGAAAAGCTGAGAAAGAGTTGAATTCTTCACCTTTAGCCGGTCACGGATTTTAACACCAGAAAAAAATGGGCGTTACAACGTTAGAATGCGTCACCACGTGACCGGTCACACATTCCACCGCTGAAAAACTGGGCGGGATTATGTTAAAATGTGTGACCACGTCACTGGTCACACATTCTAGCGCAGTCACAAACTTTGATAGAACGCCGTGTAGCTAAACTCACGGCGGGAGCTTCCTAGTTCCAGCGCTTTGTGATCTCCGGCGGTGACACGAGTGCGGTACAGAAAACCTCATTTATGGCTCCTGGCAGCGAAGACATTGAAGAGAGAGTGGCCGCTCCTTTTGACTTCAGTCCTGGTCTGCAGGTAAAGTGCAGACAAGGTAAAAAACGGCGTTGGCATAAAGGAATTTGGTTCGCAGTGTGCCGGGAGCCTCGCCGGGCATGTTGCTGCAGAGTCTTCCCGGAAGATTCCGTTTCTGGGATGAATCACCGAACTCCTCCGAATCTCGCCGCGCGTTCATTAAATGTCATGTATATAGAGATGCGTGGAAGGCTCCTCCCACCAGCCGTGATCTGCCTGCATTGCATAGAGAAGCGCGGAGTCACGGTGATGTATGTGATGAGAGAAGCTGCTGATCTGTCTGGATCTTCTCCTCCCAGACGGAGGTCATGAGATCCGGCGGAGGGAATGAAGAGCAGCTGTCTGCAGCTGAGTGGAACATTGGCGCCCGTTCATCGGCACGCAGAAAGGAGGATCTGGGAATGGCAGAGTTCAGTGACCTGGATGGGAGTTTGTCATCTCCGGAACATTCCGCTTCTGTAAACACTCCAAGTGCTGACTCCGCCGGATCCCGGGTGACGCCATTATTATACAGGGGGGTCAGAGGTCACCCCGGGATCTGTAGTGTGTGTGTGTGTGGCTCGTTCCTCTCGGCCTTGTTGGCTTTTCTTTTAGGTGGACAAAAAATAAATAAACGCTGCGAGCCGAGACCTCCGACCAGCGCGAGGCGACGCGCTCGGGGTCATTGCGGACTTCGGGGTCACCGGGAACTCCGCAGAGATCTATAAAGTTGTGTTTGTTTCCAAATATAAAGTAAAAGATTGAAGGCTCCCCCCGTCCTGCCAGCTGAAGATCACCTGCAGAGGGCCGCAGGGAGCAGGATTAGGAAATGCCGCTAGACGATGGTCAGCTGATCTCCAGGTACAGGGTGCTGGACGATGGTCGGCTGATCTCCCGGTACAGGGTGCTGGACGATGGTCGGCTGATCTCCAGGTACAGGGTGCTGGACGATGGTAAATCTTCTGGTTCCGCGGAGCCGTTATTCTGCGTCATTGAGGTTCGGCGGCCGCAGTCCGCGCGGTTGGCCCACCATGTGAATCTCCTCCGTATGTCATTCCTCATCATGTCTGGGCATTGATGATGGCGGCGCGGCCGCGGGGGTCACAGGCTCTAATCCGGACCATGTGACCTCCTCGGGGTGATCTCGGCTGCTCCTCTCTATTGTAATTCTCAGTTCTGAGGAACCAATCAGGCGAAACTAATCCGAATTCCTTCTGTTTTCCCTCCAGGAGAAGATCGGCTGGAGAACGGAGGCGTCCCACCTGCTGGTCATCACCACCGACGACGTGCCGCACATCGCGCTGGACGGGAAACTGGCCGGACTGGTGCAGCCGCATGATGGGCATTGTCACCTGAACACCAACAACGAGTACAGCGCCGCCGATCAACTGGTGAGAGCCGTCCCGGTGCACCTCATACCCGTTACCTGTCACCGAGAATCTTCCTCATCACACCAACAAGAGATGTGCTACCTACAGGAGTGCAGACCCCAGAGCCCAGCACAGGGATGGTGGGGGCCCCTCATAGTGGGCACAGCGGGTGTACAGACCCGGGAACTCAGCACAGGGATGGGGGGAGCTCCTCATAATGGGCACAGCGGGTGTACAGACCCGGGAACTCAGCACAGGGATGGTGGGAGCTCCTCATAATGGGCACAGCGGGTGTACAGACCCGGGAACTCAGCACAGGGATGGTGGGGGCCCCTCATAATGGGCACATCGGGCGTACAGACCCGGGAACTCAGCACAGGGATGGTGGGGGCCCCTCATAATGGGTACAGCGGGTGTACAGACCCGGGAACTCAGCACAGGGATGGGAGGAGCTCCTCATAATGGGCACAGCGGGTGTACAGACCCGGGAACTCAGCACAGGGATGGTGGGGGCCCCTCATAATGGGCACAGCGGGTGTACAGACCCCGGAACTCAGCACAGGGATGGTGGGGGCCCCTCATAATGGGCACAGCGGGGGTACAGACCCGAGAACTCAGCACAGGGATGGTGGGAGCTCCTCATAATGGGCACAGCGGGTGTACAGACCCGAGAACTCAGCACAGGGATGGGGGGAGCTCCTCATAATGGGCACAGCGGGTGTACAGACCCGGGAACTCAGCACAGGGATGGTGGGGGCCCCTCATAATGGGCACAGCAGGTGTACAGACCCGGGAACTCAGCACAGGGATGGTGGGGGCCCCTCATAATGGGCACAGCGGGTGTAGAGACCCAGGAACTCAGCACAGGGATGGTGGGAGCTCCTCATAATGGGCACAGCGGGTGTAGAGACCCGGGAACTCAGCACAGGGACCTCCATCGGGCAGATTGGGATGAGGGGGCGGAGCCAGGGACGTGAATTGGAGTGGAACCATTTCTTCATTGGATATGAATTTGCATTGGAAGTCGGGGTTGTACGGAGATTGCGCAATGCAACATGTATGTCCTTTGCCTGCTGAGAGGAAGTGTTGTGATGTCTCAATGTGGAAGTATTGTATTCTATGGAGCGCCGCTCCCACATTTCGGGGGTTAAGGACGCCGTCAACAGGACTTCCAACGTCAATTTATATCTGATGAAGAAAGAACGATTCTACTCCAATTCACATCTCGTCTCTGGCTCCGCCCCCTCATCCTAATCTACCTGATGAAGGAGGTGACAACCCCCAAAACGTGTTATAGGTTGAAAAAAGACGCAGGTCCAGCGAGTTCATCGAGTTATTTCATTAACGGACGTTTATAATGAAATAAATATTTCTGGAATCCTGAAACATTATTATGGAGTTCTCCTTTCCAGATCCGGAGCCCAGGAGATGATTGGTCCAGCTCCTCGGGCTTAGCGCTGGGTGCAAGCAGAACCACATGCAGCCTGAGACCCGCAGAGACATCTGGGACTGAAATGTTTAAATTGCTTCCAAAGCCAAAAGGTTTTGTGTTCTTCTCGGTTCGGGGTGAAGCGTATAGAACCTCTGGCAGGTCTTTGTTCCCATTGCAGAGATTTCCCTCTCACTTCCTGTTGTGTTGGTGGGACAGGAAGTGGAGGGAAATTTTCCCAGTGGGATGCCCAGTGAAGTGTAACACTTTCCTTCGCCATCCAAAACTTAAGAAAATATATTAAAAAAAAGGTTTTGGGCTTCAGATGATCTTTTCATTGCGGGTGGAATGTCACCTTGAGTTGGGAATGTTTCACAATTCAGAGTTTGTATCACTTGTAGATATTTTGTATCTCTGATTGTTGGTTCACATTCCTCTTCCTCCTCCTCTGTATGCGAGACTTCTGATGTCTGTCGCTCACCTTCTCTACCTTCCCGTCTGTCTTTCCAGGATTACCCGTCTCTCGCTCTTCTGGGGGAGAAGCTGTCTGAGAACAACATCCATCTGATATTTGCCGTCACCCGAAATCATTATCTGCTGTACAAGGTAAGAAAAACTTTTACTGACATCGTACGCAGATTGAACCCCCGTCCCTCAAATGTAGAGAGATGAATGAAACTGATATGTTACTTATGTGTTAATGTATCTCTCTATCTCTCCTCTGATCAATGTATATAAATAATGTTACTTTGTATCTCTCTATCTCTCCTCTGATCAATGTATATAAATAATGTTACTTTGTATCTCTCTATCTCTCCTCTGATCAATGTATATAAATAATGTTACTTTGTATCTCTCTATCTCTCCTCTGATCAATGTATATAAATAATGTTACTTTGTATCTCTCTATCTCTCCTCTGATCAATGTATATAAATAATGTTACTTTGTATCTCTCTATCTCTCCTCTGATCAATGTATATAAATAATGTTACTTTGTATCTCTCTATCTCTCCTCTGATCAATGTATATAAATAATGTTACTTTGTATCTCTCTATCTCTCCTCTGATCAATGTATATAAATAATGTTACTTTGTATCTCTCTATCTCTCCTCTGATCAATGTATATAAATAATGTTACTTTGTATCTCTCTATCTCTCCTCTGATCAATGTATATAAATAATGTTACTTTGTATCTCTCTATCTCTCCTCTGATCAATGTATATAAATAATGTTACTTTGTATCTCTCTATCTCTCCTCTGATCAATGTATATAAATAATGTTACTTTGTATCTCTCTATCTCTCCTCTGATCAATGTATATAAATAATGTTACTTTGTATCTCTCTATCTCTCCTCTGATCAATGTATATAAATAATGTTACTTTGTATCTCTCTATCTCTCCTCTGATCAATGTATATAAATAATGTTACTTTGTATCTCTCTATCTCTCCTCTGATCAATGTATATAAATAATGTTACTTTGTATCTCTCTATCTCTCCTCTGATCAATGTATATAAATAATGTTACTTTGTATCTCTCTATCTCTCCTCTGATCAATGTATATAAATAATGTTACTTTGTATCTCTCTATCTCTCCTCTGATCAATGTATATAAATAATGTTACTTTGTATCTCTCTATCTCTCCTCTGATCAATGTATATAAATAATGTTACTTTGTATCTCTCTATCTCTCCTCTGATCAATGTATATAAATAATGTTACTTTGTATCTCTCTATCTCTCCTCTGATCAATGTATATAAATAATGTTACTTTGTATCTCTCTATCTCTCCTCTGATCAATGTATATAAATAATGTTACTTTGTATCTCTCTATCTCTCCTCTGATCAATGTATATAAATAATGTTACTTTGTATCTCTCTATCTCTCCTCTGATCAATGTATATAAATAATGTTACTTTGTATCTCTCTATCTCTCCTCTGATCAATGTATATAAATAATGTTACTTTGTATCTCTCTATCTCTCCTCTGATCAATGTATATAAATAATGTTACTTTGTATCTCTCTATCTCTCCTCTGATCAATGTATATAAATAATGTTACTTTGTATCTCTCTATCTCTCCTCTGATCAATGTATATAAATAATGTTACTTTGTATCTCTCTATCTCTCCTCTGATCAATGTATATAAATAATGTTACTTTGTATCTCTCTATCTCTCCTCTGATCAATGTATATAAATAATGTTACTTTGTATCTCTCTATCTCTCCTCTGATCAATGTATATAAATAATGTTACTTTGTATCTCTCTATCTCTCCTCTGATCAATGTATATAAATAATGTTACTTTGTATCTCTCTATCTCTCCTCTGATCAATGTATATAAATAATGTTACTTTGTATCTCTCTATCTCTCCTCTGATCAATGTATATAAATAATGTTACTTTGTATCTCTCTATCTCTCCTCTGATCAATGTATATAAATAATGTTACTTTGTATCTCTCTATCTCTCCTCTGATCAATGTATATAAATAATGTTACTTTGTATCTCTCTATCTCTCCTCTGATCAATGTATATAAATAATGTTACTTTGTATCTCTCTATCTCTCCTCTGATCAATGTATATAAATAATGTTACTTTGTATCTCTCTATCTCTCCTCTGATCAATGTATATAAATAATGTTACTTTGTATCTCTCTATCTCTCCTCTGATCAATGTATATAAATAATGTTACTTTGTATCTCTCTATCTCTCCTCTGATCAATGTATATAAATAATGTTACTTTGTATCTCTCTATCTCTCCTCTGATCAATGTATATAAATAATGTTACTTTGTATCTCTCTATCTCTCCTCTGATCAATGTATATAAATAATGTTACTTTGTATCTCTCTATCTCTCCTCTGATCAATGTATATAAATAATGTTACTTTGTATCTCTCTATCTCTCCTCTGATCAATGTATATAAATAATGTTACTTTGTATCTCTCTATCTCTCCTCTGATCAATGTATATAAATAATGTTACTTTGTATCTCTCTATCTCTCCTCTGATCAATGTATATAAATAATGTTACTTTGTATCTCTCTATCTCTCCTCTGATCAATGTATATAAATAATGTTACTTTGTATCTCTCTATCTCTCCTCTGATCAATGTATATAAATAATGTTACTTTGTATCTCTCTATCTCTCCTCTGATCAATGTATATAAATAATGTTACTTTGTATCTCTCTATCTCTCCTCTGATCAATGTATATAAATAATGTTACTTTGTATCTCTCTATCTCTCCTCTGATCAATGTATATAAATAATGTTACTTTGTATCTCTCTATCTCTCCTCTGATCAATGTATATAAATAATGTTACTTTGTATCTCTCTATCTCTCCTCTGATCAATGTATATAAATAATGTTACTTTGTATCTCTCTATCTCTCCTCTGATCAATGTATATAAATAATGTTACTTTGTATCTCTCTATCTCTCCTCTGATCAATGTATATAAATAATGTTACTTTGTATCTCTCTATCTCTCCTCTGATCAATGTATATAAATAATGTTACTTTGTATCTCTCTATCTCTCCTCTGATCAATGTTTATAAACAATGTTACTTTGTATCTCTCTAGCTCCAGTCTGAACTGTGTCAGATACTTTTTTCTTTTTTTTTTGTAATTACACAGAAGCTCCTGGTTGACATTTGCCATGCCAGTAAATTTGTGTGTTGGGGTGTTTATAAGTGTCAGAGTGCAGGCGGGTTGGAGGACAGGACATACTGCACATGCCCATTGTACTTCATTGAGGTTTTTCGGCCGTGTGTTGCACTTCGTGTCCACAACTGGTGAATATCTAGCACAGTATGTTCTGAATTACGGATTTATTATGTTTCCGATGTCTAAGTTCTGCAATGTTCGGACTTCCAGAGCAGATTGTTTATGACCTCTCAGGGTGACGGATAGTACATGTGGTTTATGTTACACAGAGCGCCATTTTTACACTATTTGCTGTCTTTATTTTCTCAGAATTTCACGGCGCTGATTCCGGGAACCACGGTGGAGATTTTGGATCAGAGTTCCCAGAACATCCTCCAGCTGATAGTAAATGCTTATAATGTAAGTGACACCTTCCGTCCGTTCTGCGACATATGCGGAGTGAGCTCCCTTCTGGTACACCCCCCCATCCCCCCACCTGTCAACACGCTTTGCTCGCCTCTAGTGGACGTGTCAGGGCCTCGTCCCGGACACTTGTTATTGGAGGGATGTGATTCCCGGGGGCTTCGTGTCTCCACTCCACCTGGCCAGATGTGCCGAACCACAAAAATGTGATGAATCAGCCTGCAAATCCCTTCTCTGTGTATATTCTAGGGCTGCTGGGATTAATAATTAAGACGTTTCATTATATTTCTCTTTTGTACTTTGTAATCTTTTCCATATTGTAAATCGTTATTGATCCGTGACGTGGGTTACAGTGTAAACACATTTGATGGACGCGCCCAGGCCTGTGGTGAGGCCACATAGACTGCTGCCTGGGGTGTCAGACATTGAGGGCAGCGACTCCCTCGTCATCTTACTGATTGAATTCTTGTGTAAGCCTGCAAAATTCTGTGCATTGCCCTCTTATTCTCCACGAGGTGCCGGAAAACCCGAGACTGCAGATATTTGTGGTTATGAGAAAAGCCTTGGGGTGCATAACTCAGATCTGTCACTCTGCAGGTGAAAGGGCCACTTCACCCAAAACTAATATCTAGTGGATGCTGGGCTGCAGACATCCCTGTGCTGAGTTCTCGGGTCTGTACACCCGCTGTGCCCATTATGAGGGGCTCCCACCATCCCTGTGCTGAGTTCTCGGGTCTGTACACCCGCTGTGCCCATTATGAGGGGCTCCCACCGTTGCAATGAATCAGGAGTGAGTTTAAATAGAACATTTTCTTATGCGATGGATCTGAATGTCAAGTTTTCCTAATGCACCTGAGATGTGACCTGCTTATTGCCCCGGGGGGTTGGGTGGGGGGGAGGGGGTGAAGGGGCAGACAGCGAGGGGTCTGTTCCGGCACGCTCTCCTCTTTGTCCTTACGAAATTGTCACTCACTGATTATAGTCCGTCCCCCTCGGCCGGGTTTTACCTGCAGCCCCTCCGGCGTCGGGAGATTGAACGCGGTTCTAGTTCTGTCACCTGACGGGGAAGATTCATTCATTACAGACACAGAATTCTCTTTGTTTCATTTTATGATATTTCATGTTGAAGATTTTTTAATAATGTGTTGCAGAGTATTCGCTCCAAGGTGGAACTAACCGTCTCGGAGACCCCCGAGGACCTGGAGCTCAGCGTCACCGCCACGTGTCAGGATGGAGCGTCCTATCCGGGCGTGAAGAAATGTGGAGAGCTGATGATTGGCGATACGGTGAGTGACGGGTGAATGCCGACTGCACCGCCGCGTCTGCAAACTCCGAGTGTGTATATTTGTGTGTGTGGCAGCCCCAGTCTTAGTCCGTAGGGTTCAGTATTGGGTTGGCTCCGCCCTCTAATGGCATCCCAGTCTTAGTCCGTAGGGTTCAGTATTGGGTTGGCTCTGCCCTCTAATGGCATCCCAGTCTTAGTCCGTAGGGTTCGGTATTGGGTTGGCTCCGCCCTTTGCCGCTATAACAGCTCCGCCTCTTCTGGGAAGGCGTCCACAAGGTTTAGGGGTGTGTCTATGGGAATGTTGGACCATTTGTGAGGTCAGGTACTGATGTTGGGGGAGGGGCTCGCAGTCTCCGCCTCTAATTCATCCCAAAGGTGTTCTATGGGGTTGAGGTCAGGACGGCCAGTCACGT